GACCAAACTGTGCAGCTCTGCAACTGCATCCTGGCCCATCCTCACCCTTCTGCCCCCAACCCTCACTTCCTTGTACCCCCAGTATGTTTTTCCCAATTAAAAAAAAGGTGAAAAAAAAATTGGGCATCCTGGAGATGTTGTATTCTCAACACCTTCTGTTAAGAACGTATTTTCATTGTGATATAAAATGGTATCCAGGTCAAGAAAAAATATAACTGTTACCAATTTTATGTAACTGTCAAATAAATTTGAAAATTATTAATGTACATTAACAGTTCAAAATTGTAAAAAAAAATCTGTTTTAAGTGAACACAGAAATTTCATATGACCCAGCTATCCCACTGCTAGGAATATACCCCAAGCACAACAGAACTGAGACACAAATGGAGATGTGTATACTGATATTCATAGCAGCATTATTCACAAAAGCAAGAACATGGAAACAGCCATCAACAAACAGTTCATCAACAAACAACTGGATTGAGAAATTGTGGTATATTCACATGATGGAATACTACGCGGCATTCAGGAGCAACAGTTTTGAAAAATATTGTGTAACATGGGAGAGGCTAGAGAGCATTATCCTGAGTGAAATAACAAATACTGCATAAGACTATTACTGTAAAAAAAGACAACAGAAGGATAACTAGTATGATATGTATGGACATCCAAATACAGAAAGGGAGAGGGAAATGGCGCTGAGGATGGAGAGGAGGGGAAATCACAGGGTCTCAGGGTTTGGTGGGTAAAGGGAAGAGGTGAAGGGATTAGGAAAGACCCATTGGGATCTGAAGGGACAGGGTGGGCATAGATCAATGGTGGTTAATTTTATAAGGTACAATATATGGGAATGATTATAAGAAACACAATGTGAATTTAAAAAACAAGCCTAACAAAAATAAATTTAAAAAAAAAATTTGTTTTGGTTCTAGAATGTTTCTTTCATGGGTTCTATCAAGTTAACTGTTACATTAGCAAAAATTATGCAAGAAAAGTACCTGACTTGAGACTAAATGTTGCTGATGTTGAATTTACAATCACGTCTGCTGCTTCTTTGGTGATATCTCCAGAGGCCACCTGGAAGATGATGGGGCCAATCTTCATCTCATGCACTTCTAAATTAGGGCTAGAGACAGTTCCATATAAGCCTGAAAAGAAGAGGAGAATGGAGTCAGTAATCAAGCCAGTAACTCTAAGAATGACTTAAATCTCATACACTTTGAGTCTGTCTGTCTCTCTTCATGATTTATTGCCATAACCCTGGCTTTGATCCTCAGCTCTACTTTTGACAAATGATTAGAAATTAAAAGGAAATCAAAGACAGGGACTTCTAATGCTGGTGGAGAATTAAATCCATTAAACCCTGTTGCTCCTACTGATTAAACTCTCTCTCTCTCTCTCTCTCTCTCTCTCTCTGTGTGTGTGTGTGTGTGTGTGTGTGTGTAACAAACCCAAACAACCTGAGCACTCTGGAGAGTCACCAAGAGTAAGTGATTTGTAAAGAATCAAAGCAGCAGGAATCAATCTACAACTCAAACAGATGTATGCACATCCATGTTTATTACTACATTATTCACAATAGCAAAGAGATGGAAGCAACCCAAGTGCCCATCAATAAATGAATGGATAGAAACATTACGGTACATCCACACCATGGAATACTATGCAGCACTGAAAAACAATGAAATAGTAAAACTAATCGCAACATGGGGGAGCCAAGAGGACATTGTGCTAAGTTAAATATCTTAGTCACAAAAGGATAACTATTGCATAGCACTGTTGTTCTAAAATAGGACAGACATGAGGGAGTCAGAGAAGGAATGGGGACATAGTAGATATATAGTGAACACTGCGTTGGAACAGATGAGAAGAACTATTTGATAGGAATATATGATTATGCATTATATGTATATGAGAACAGTCTGGACCAAGAGAGGCATGGGGGCTGGCTAAGGGAGAAAATGTGCAACAATGAATAAATTTAAAAATGTATTATTAATAATTGGAAGAAGGAGTGGCATCCAATTCCTAAACAACATGCCTCTGGAAACTATGAACTTTGAGAAACAATGATAGTTACAGAAAGGCTTCAGGTCTTTTGTTCAAGGGTCTCTATGAGTTGTACTCAACTCGACGGCAATCAACAACAACAATATTAACAAAAAAATAATCAATCTCTACAAGGGTAAGTAGTAGTAGTGGTGGTGGTAGTGGTAGTCATAGTAGTAGTAGCAGTACTAGTCGCCGTCTTGGTAGTTGCTTTGATTGTTTTCCCTCCCAAATACGACAGAAGTCACACAATGGACACCTGTAGCAAAATCTCTGAGCTAATCCCTCTCCTAGTGTTCAGAGCACTGGGAAAAGGAGTCCCTGTGATCTGAAGAATCACATTACTTCTTTCCTCCAAGCCATGGCCCCAGAGTGAGAACTCTGGCTATAGAACGCCCCAGTGGCAGTACAAGGAATCACTGCCTGGCAAACCATCTGTATTTCAGCCCAGAGGAGTTTGAAAAAGAGACTCTGTAGTCTGAAGGAGGTGTGCACGAAAGACGGAGAACACTGCCTGTCTGGCCACAGCACCTGGCTAATGGGACCACACGAAGCAGAGAGTGTTTCTAGAAGAAGGCAGAGGAGATTTCTGGAAGATTACTGGAGATGGAGATTGCCCTCTGGTTCTCTGCATGCACTAGGACAAATCCTAGGTTCAGACTCACAGTGTACGTTCATGCATGCATGGGGCATGCACACTCGAACCTGTATCACAAAACTCTGAGTTTTGAACCTCTACCCCACAAAAGAGGCAAGAGAACTTACAATATGAATTTGACTGACTGCTTGCCTGCTGAAACAAGAGAGGGGGGGGTGGGGAACCAAACCATCACTTTCCAGAAGTTTTTAATGGAGAACCAGGTGGCCTATCATCTGAAATTGCTCACTAGCAAAAAAAACAAAATGTGACCCATTCTCAAGCACAGAGAATCAACAGGTAGCAATGCCAAGATGATAAATACATTGGAATTATCAAGAAAATCTTTAAAGTACATATAACTAAATCCCATTAGGTTGATGTAATTAATTAAAACAAAATAAAAATGGCGCTCCATAAAGAGCTCCTATCCGTGTCGATTCAAGTCAGACCTCTAGCAACCCACCACTGAATCTCCTAAGCTATAAATCTTTACAAGAAGAGACTCCCATCATTCTCTTTTGAAGCAGTTGGTGGGTTTGAACTATCAACCTTCCGGCTTAACAGCCTAACATGCAATACACCAGAGCTTCTTGAATCGGTATGATCAAATACATAGAATATCTTTTCCTATCTTATTTATCACTAGTTGGTTTTTTAAAATAAGTGTCATCATTACTTTCTTTCATCTATTCCTAAGTAATTATTTAGAAACTAGAAATAATTTCTCAATTGCAAAGCTTTACTCAACCTTGTGTATCTGCAGCCGTGGGAATTTTGTCACTGATGGGATTTCCACTAAGCCTTGTGGCAAATGCATCTGAAAATGCCTGAAAATACAGTTTGGTTACTTTAATATTCAGTAAATGCACAGATTTCATTATCACTCTTCAGAGCCAAAATGCATACATGTTTTAAAAATTCATTGTCATCAAATTAATTCAACTCACAGTGACCTATAAGACAGAAGAGAATCTTGTCATGGAATTTCTAAGGCTAAAAATCTTCATGGAAGCAGATTATTAACATCTTTATCCTACAGAGTGCCTGACGGGTTCTAATCACAGATCTTTGGTCAACAGCCAAGCACTTAAATAATGCCCTACTAAACTCACTGAATTTAGAAGAGAATAATTCTCAAATACTATTATTTATTTTCATTATTTTTTAAAGCTATAAAACCATACATATAATTTTATTTCTACAAATTCTATTAGTGATAGAAGGACATAAAATGGTGCTTAAAGTTTAAAAAACGGTTAAAATTTAGTGTATATTATCTATGACTGAATATTTAGCAGCCAATAAAAATAATTAATTTCCAAGAATATTTAATGGAATAGGCTAATACAAAACTTTATAGTGAGTGAAAAAAAAGAATGATGTTAAATTGCATTATATAATTCAATTTAAAAAGCACACATGTATGAAAGAAGACACTATATTGTTCAGGGCTTTTATGATGAACATATATGACTTTAGTTCACAGTAAAAAGCAAATAATTTGTGAACTGTAGAAAATAAAGTGTTAAGAAAAAGACAATCACAAGTTCCAAAACTACACCCTTTGACTCATTCATACCAGGCGATGAAATGTATACTGCATTGAAACAGATAAGGGAGAGAACAGTTTAAAAGCAATATGTGATTGGGTATTATTAAAAGGGGAAAAAAAGAAAAAAGTTTACAGGAATGGTACTTTGGAGGCAAGGAGCTAAGTGTATGTATTTGAAGGTTAAGCTACTTATTTCATTTCTTTGCCTTGTGTTGACAACTTTCTTCTCCCTGGTAAGTAAACAGCAGAGAACTTTGTTGGGGAAAACCAGAGATCATCTTGGCTAAAAAGACTTATTCATTGATAAGATAAGAACCAGGACAAATTCTAGAGCAAAGGCCTCAAATTCTAAACCTCCATGGGCTGGTACCAGGTGTACAGGTAGACAGTCCAACTTGGAGAACTGACAAACACTTGTGATTCAGTCATGCAACCTGTGTGCCAGGCCGAATATCACATCCAATAAACCGGAACGCAGGGACTTTTAGGTCACAATGAACATTTGGATTTTTATGTAATAATTCTGATTTTTAAAAGTTAAGACTCACCAAGTCAGTTCTGACTCAGCAAACTCAGTACAATTGAAGGAAGCCCTACCTGGCCCTGCACCACCCTCATAGCACTGCTGTTTGATGAGCCCATTTTTGCAGCAATTAATATTAGCAGTGGATTGGCAAAAAAAAAAAAATGAACAGCCCAAACAAAACACATTCTAAGGCTATAGTCAGGGTTCCTGTTTTGCAGCCTCTTTTCTTAAAAAAAACTCAAGTCCCTGTCATCAGGCTTACCTCTCCATTCATTCCTTAACAAAACTGAGACCTTTTAAAGTGTCAGGCCCTGTGCTAGGTAGTAAATGCACAATACAGACTGATGATCCTTCCTGACCACTCTTAGTATTCAGTGTTTCTAATTAGTTTATGGACATACATCTTGATTTCCAAAGTAATTATGATTTATAGGGAAAAGTGGAATTCATTTTTAGCCTGTTCGATAATCCATATCACTTCATCTAAAGTAAGTGTCGGAAGTGGATCAAAAGCATTTATGAAATAGAAGTAAATGTACAAATCAGCTAAATGACCTACAAATTTTGCACACGTGGTGTGGTTCCTGATCATAACATATGTTAGATTTGCTTGCTTACAGAGGAGAAATCAAAGTGCAGCCTTTCAGATGGTCCAGTGATCTGTGGAAATCTCGTGGGGTTTGCTAGTCTCAATCTATTTGCTTAATTCTTACGATATCATGAAAGTTTTCAAACATTTCATATAATCTATTCTACTTGGAAGACAATAATAATGACTTATCTTTTTGAAGCACAAATGTCTTCTCTTTACAGTGTCCAGTAAATATGAGATAGTTGACGTACTTCCTGTAACTGAAGATGATTCTAGTATTTCTACTACCCATCTTGATGTGCAGAGCTTACTGTAACTATAACTTTCAATTGTATCCCACCTTGGAATTTTCCTATTGATAGGTCTACAATTGTACTTTTTAATATTATATCTTAAGCTTCCCCAGTTCATATGGAAAACAGATCGAAAGATACTCAATCAAACAAATTGACCATTTAAAAATTCTGATTCGGGGGGGGGAAGGGATGTAAGAATTATATACTAATGAAGGAATATTTTTTTTTTCTTTTCGGAGAGGGGAGCGAACTGGTGGGAAGGGGTGAGCAGGGAGAAAAGTGCGGTAATGAATGAATGGAAATCAAAAACCTCTGTAAATGTCTATTAATAATAAAAAAAGGAAAAAATTCTGATTCAAATCAATATGCTGTAAAAACAAAATAAAGCAAAAAGAAGTAAGTAAAGCTGGAAATCTGAATTGAGGAAAAGAAATTATTTTGTCAATTTCTTTTAGATATGGTATAGTATTGTAGTTCTATATTATTTAAAAAGAACTTTTATTGTTTAAAATAAATATGGAATTATTTATAGGAGGAAAGAGATGTATAGGATTTGCTTTAAAACAAAATATGAGGAAAAGAAACAAATGGAGATGAGATAAAGATGAAACAATACTGAAAATAATTTATTCATTGTTGAAACTGGGTGGCAGATAAAGGAACATTCATTACAGTATTTTGTCTATATTTGTATGTGTTTGAAATTTTTATTAACAAAAATCCAATTTTTTACTTTATCTGTAAACATGGTCAAAATGTGTCATGTTACATCTAATTTATACCACTTCCTTATTTCTCTGTATGAACAATACTTGAAAGGAGCAACTAATAGACAAAGAGGATATTAGAGAACTTTGGGACTCAGTTCAGAAATGAGTGAGACTGTACCTGAATAGTTCCATGATCACTTGGGTGTAACAGAAAATGAACCTCCTTTAAAGTGTCCAGCTGATTCTTGCTACTAAATTCGAGTACTTCTGAAATTATTAATTCAGCAAATAAGGTTTTAGGGAATCCCAAATTTCCTGTTCCTATAGCTGGAAATGTAATGGATTCCAAGTACCAGGTCTCTGTCATCTGCAAGCAGTCTCTGATTATATCTTTCATAATCTGAAAAGTACATAGCACATGCCTGTAAGTCTTGGCTTAAAAACAGGAGTTAGAATGAAAAAACTAGAATTTAGCAACTCTAACTATGATGTCTGTCTACTTCTCTAGTCTTAAGACAAGCTAAAGTCAATCTAAATGGGAGGCAAAAATATAGGAGTAGATGAGGTAAAGGGAAAGAGAATGTGAAGGACTCTCTAGAAGGATTCAAAATTGCTCATCATTGATGAGATTCAAAGCAACTGATGCTCTTACTCTAAACTCTCTTCCACTCTGCATACACTCATTTCCCTTTCCTCATTAAAGTATTATCTTTTATAACCCTTCCCAGAGCCCCAATAATGACTGAGAACTCTAATCAACTGATAGTAATATTTTGTTCTCATGAGAAGCCAGCTATAGGCAAAAGAAACAGATATACATATGGAATCTACCAAAAATGTATGCTATTAGGTCTAATCCCATTTCCATTGTACTCCAAGAAGAATCCATCGGGCTACCCAATTTTCTGAACCATTTTTAAAAAGCCAAGTCCTACCTTTCTTGACAATGTGTTATTACTTCCCCACTGCAGAGGCACCACGTGTAGCACAAGCTGGCAGTGTAGATTATAGCCACCGGTTGTGAGAACTGTGCCCGTTTTGACTGGCACATTTTGTCTGAGTTGGTCCAACTCTGTCTGGAGCTCTGGCCCAGCTTTTTCTAAGATAGCTCGAGAAAGGAGCCCGTTAGTAAGCACAAGATCCGAGGAGATGGAGTTGACAATGGCATCGGTCTTAAAGACAAAATCAACAATTGGTCTCAGAGTCTAGCAATCCATGAGGGATCATTTGAGTCACTGGTCTTGGCACAATGGGGGAAGACTAAGATGTTGAGGTTTTAAAGAGACCAAAATACATGAAAGTGAATCATCAAATGGTATTTAAATAGCAATATAGGGCAAATTAAGAATTATAAAATATATTTATATATATAGTTCTAAATTTATATATATACACATATATATATATATATATATATGATAGTATAGGATTGGTTTTATATAATATTATATATATATATAATGGTACAGATACAGTAGATAGATAGATAGATAGATAGATAGATAGATAGATAGAGATAGAGATATATAGATAGATATGTGTAATGGTACAGGATTGCAGAAGGAGTCCCGAGAGTAAGTGCTGAAGGGAGGGAGGGTGAGGAGTAACTGTAAACCTCAAGCATTGCTGATGAGAATGTAAAATACTGTGGCTGTTTTGGAAAACATTCTGGTAGTTCCTCAAGATGTTAAACCTAGTTTTGGGGATCCTTGCCTCTGTGGCTTCAGGGTCATCCCAGGGGCCAAATAGGACAATTTGGGACTCAGAGCTACAGGCAGGGGTAAGACTTTCTCAGCTTTCTGCAAGAGGGAGGGCTGAGTTGAGATCCTCCTGCACACAAACTGCTTAAGTCAGTGCCCCTGATCTTGTGTCACTCCAGAGACAAAGGAAGACGTTAATCTTCAGGAGAGAAGGTGAGATCAGGTGAGACACTCTTTAACAGAACCAGCACTTTCAGGTGCTTGTGGAGAGATTGGACCTGAAACTTCGTTGGGGAAAACTTCATTTGGGGATCCTTGTCTCTGTGGCTGCAGGACCATCTTAGGGGCCAAATAGGACAAGAGAGTTTGAGACAGAGAGCTACAAGCAGGGGAAAGACTTTCTCAGCTGGCATGTTGAGCTACGAGAAAGAGTGGTGACTTGAAACCCCACTGGACAGAAACTACTCGGATGGGGCACTGGTATCACACCACTCAGCCACTCCATAGATGAAGGAGGACAATAGAGTTTGGGACAGGCTAAATGCATTTTTAACAGATTTAAGAACTGTCCCTACCTAATGTCTTCATTCTACCCAGGTCTACACTTTGCTTCCAAATTGCATATGGCAGCTGTGAAATCACCAGAGAAACAGAGAGAGTCATGCAACAAGTATGGATCTTACTTCACAATTAACCAGTAATCTGATTTGAATATACTTAAACTTCCAGAAATAGCTGATCAGTTTTTTAATTAATGATTTGTGAAGTATCTCACTTATTCAAGTGAGCCTCTGTTTTAAGCCTAGGATGGAGATAAAGAATTCTCTCCCAGGATACCACTGACATATGATTCCATCTCTGGTCCCAGATGAGAGAGCCAGGGGCCACTGGAGCTCACAGTGCCTGGAGGAGTCTATGCGTAGGGACACTCACCCTTACATCCCGCACTTCTCCTATCACTAGACGGATACTCAGGCCTTCATGGGATATCAGAATGCTGCCAATTTCAGGATCTTTTCTTGGTGTCGGTTGATCGGCTAATGGTAGACTGGGTGGAGAAGCATTATCAGACACTGTGTCTTTAAATAGCATTTTCACAGTCTCAGCAAAAGCCTCAACAGTCTTCTGGGATGAATCCACAAGGTAAATTTCTCTCAAGGATCCTCCGCTCTGGTTAGGCTGGAAGCTTTCCTTGATGGCCAAAACAATAGTCTCCACACACTGGTCTAAAGGAAAGCCGAAGACTCCAGAACTAATAGCTGGGATGGCTATGGACCGGTGCTGGTGTTTCTCAGCTAAACGGAGACTTTCTCTCACCGCTCTTTTCAACAGGTCAATACAGCTCTGTGCCTCCTCTGTCTTCCACTTGGGCCCAACTGCATGGATCAAACGGTGGCATGGGAGCTTTCCAGGTATTGAGACAACGGCGTTACCAGGCTGGACCTTGCCCTTCTTTTTCACTATCTCGAAACAGTCAAGGAGGAGCTCAGGGCCAGCAGCTTTTAAAAGCGCAGCAGCAAGGCCACCACTGTGCTTGAGGTCTTCATTTGCAGCATTCACCACCACTTCTACGGGAAACTGTGTCAAGTCACCCTGGTGGACCAGCAGCGAGACACCAGGAGCCAAGCTGGCCCTAACCCGGCACTGCTTTCCACCTGCGTCTCCCTTTGTTTCCTCTTCCTGGAGCCCGATGTAACAACCAAATTTCTGTCTGACCTCACTCCTATAATATCGTTCTTTATCCTGAAAGAAATGCTTGGCTCCTGGTTTTTCAATGCTGATGCTTTTCACGTAGACAGACTCTTGGGTTTTCTGGATAATCTTCACTGCCTCCAGGACTTCATTCTTGGGGCCAGTTAGTAAAATGGCTTTTTGCTTGTTCTCAAGTCTGAAAGTTAGCTGCACATTTCTGTTCTTTATGTTTGACCAGGTCTGCCTCTTTTCTCCCCTTAAGTACTGAGCCACTATGAAGGATTTTAGTTCAACCACTTTCTCTATTTTTGTGTGTTTTTCTACAAAGTCAAAAAGCAAATGATAGATTTCATTGACCTTTCTCACCCAGCCTGCAATGATCACTTCAGCTTTAGTGTCTGACGTTAACTCATCAATCATTACTGTTTTTGAGGGAGAGTTGTGTTTTTTAAGCAAATTGCTAATGTGGGCTTTCCATCTTTTATGTTTAAGAACATTCTTGTCCTCAACTATAATGCGTTTGTAAGTTAAGTCACTGGCCATTTGCTTTTCAGCTTCTGTTAAATCTTGAGGAGAACTGCCAGTCAGCAGTATAGACGCATCCTTAAGCTCATATGTGGCAAGGATTTTCTTGTCTCTAAAAAGAGACTTAGAGAATTGTTGGCAGTCTACCTTTTGCAGAAACTGGAAAACCTCAGAGGGAACTTGAACGTTTTTCTGAACCATCGTGTGCACCACTTCCTGAATTTCACACTTGACTTTATACACGTCAGCACGGAGCCCTTTAAGGCACAGATGTCCTGTGTCTGCATCATAAGAAATCTCCACCTCTGGGCACTCCTTTCGTAGCTTCTCCAGCAGATCACTGCAGCACAAAAGAGAGTATCTTGCTAGAGAAATGGACATGATTTCTTTCAAGCTTTGCTGTTCCTTTTTCATTTTCTCAGTGAGGGTCTCTACTGATTTCTTGATTTGTGGTTCAATGTTTTGTATATCCTCTGATTTCCCCACAAAGGTCACCTTCTCCACAAGTGCATCAAATTCAATCAAAACCTCGTCATCTTCTATGTCATTTTTGATGGACTCCCACACTACTGGGGCCACGTCAAATGTGATAACTGGGTATTTTGCTATGATGTTAGAGAATGTTCTAGAAGTGTCCTCACTCCATGAATAGATTCTTTGTCTTCCTTGACCCACTAAAGTGGGTGCAGGCCTAATGACGATAACACCATCACGCTGGGGCCAGATTAGCTCACAATGACAACGCTCCATTTCACTATTTATCTCATCAATGAGGTGATTCTTTTTCTGTAAGAACTTCCATAAGGGAAGACCCAGTGGCACTTCCAATGGTGCTGGGAGCTTGATCAGAGGCTTCTCCTTGCCATATAAAGCCGTGCCCAAGGAAGGATAGTACGGGAACACAGAAAGAGGCATTTTTTTGAAGGTAAATTTTTTGGTCATGATGGTGTCTAACACTGAGAAAGAAAAAGAAACATGAGTTCATTTCAACATGGTGTGCTTCAAAACAATAGAAATGTCCTTTGCTAGAGGGAGGAAACCTTGTTAGTACACTGTTGATTTTATAACATATTAAAAGTAGTACCACTCTCAAGTGCTCAAATATCAATTGATACATATTAACAGCATATGTGTACACACACACTGTCATAAATTCTGACAGACAGGGATTCTATAACATAACAGAGCTGGCTCGAAGCTTCTGAGACTGTAAATCTATACAGACATAGATTGCCTCATTTGGTGGTTCAAACTGCTGACCTGTTGGTTAGTAGCTGATGTTTAACCACCGCACAATTAGGGCTTCTAACAGTGCACCAGTATCCCTTATTTTAATAGCATAATTACTCTCAAGGCAAGATCATTCTATAGCGAAACTCTGTTAAGTGAATTCTGCTTTCTGGTTTTCAATACATTACTGATGTATCTGGGAGCTCCGGGGAGGTCTGCAGGTAGCTGCAGTACTAGTGCAAGGCAATGCCTTGCTGGTGGAGAAAGATGGGCAGTCTCCTCCTATGCAATTTATAACCTCCAAGAGCCAGCTGGGAGGGAGGGTGGGTTCAACTAAGGGACAATTACAAGTAGAAGGTAATGAGAGAGAGTGAGAGACTCAGATCGGATAGATGGGTTTGAATTGGAATGTTGGCAAAGAGTGTGGACTGTACCAGGGCTGCCAACAGAACAAACGTATCTGTCTTGGAATAAGTATAATGAGGGTGCTCCTCAGATGCAAGGATTATGAAGCTCAGTCTCAAATCCTTTGGGCATGGTGTCAGGAGGGATCAGGCCTTTGAAAAAACGACATGATGCTGGGGAAGGCAGAGGGTCAGAGAAGACCCCAACCCCCCGCCCGCCAACAAGATGCACTGACACAGTGACTATAAACGAGGTCGGGCATCTAGGAACTCCTGAGGATAGTGCAGGATAGGGCAAGGTTCTGGTCTGTTGCTCACAGGGTTGCTACAATTTGTACTATGCTTGACACGTAACACAAGGCTCAACTGAACGTGGTTTTCGCAAGATCATTCTAAGTGACAACTACACAGTATTAATATATACAGTATTCCCCCCCCCTTAAATACTTATTTATTGGCAGTGGGTGGAAAAGGTGATGGAGTTAGCAAACAGAGACACCACCACACACCAATGTCACAAAGGCAGCAAGAGTGATGGGAAGGAGCAGCCTGAAGCCCCAGACGAGGCCCTTCTCCTCAAGTGTTCACTCTAGGAGGGCGCTGGGGTCTAGAGTGTAGAGGGAGTGGCCTTAGAACACCTCCACTTAGTAGGCATGGTTAGAGACGAGAAGGGACTCTCTGGCTGCAGCCCCGGCCTGACCGCTTGGGGTGTACTTTCCTTGGCAGGTGAGGCTGTTGGCCAAGGCTCGCTTGATATACTCCTCCTGGGCTGCCTTCAGATTCTCCTTCTTCCCACCCCAGGCCTTCAATGTAGAGGCCTGCAGGGCTCAGCCATGGGAGAAGGTCAGGCCCATTGATTCAGCAAGGGGTACTTGTTGATGGCATTGAGGTTGATGGATGCCTTCTCCTCACTCTGACCTCAACAGGAAGGTGATAGCGGTGGGCACTGTGCAGTGCAGTGCTGTAACAGTTGCCATGGCAAACTCCTCATGAGAAAACTTCTGTGTGCAGGCATGGCCCCGGGTTACCATGCTAGGCTTCAGCAAAGTGCCTTCCAAATAGATGTGGTGGTCACTCAGAGCCTTGTAGATGGCAGCCAGCACCTTCTCAGTTACATACTGACAGCACTTCAGGTCATGGTCACCATCAGGGAGGATCTCAGGCTCCACAATGGGCACAATCCCATTCTGCTGGCAGATGCTGGCATAACGGGCCAGCAAGTTGGCATTTTCCATGATAGCAAGGGCTGTGGGGGTGTGTTTTCCAATCTTCAGCACACAGAGCCACGTGGCAAAGTCAGCGCCATCCTTCTTGTACTGGGCACAGCGCTTGGACAGCCTGTCCAGCCCTTGGGTGGTGGTCTCGCCATTAGTCCCTGCCAGGGGTACCACACCCTTGTCTACCTTGATGCCCACAACATCACACTTAGATTTGATGACTTGGGGGAAGGGACGTCCATCATCCACCTTCTGGTAGAGGGTCTCATGGAGGAGGATGGCACCCCCAGATGCAGGAGTTCACGTTGTCGTCGCTGGTCAGCAGGAGCTGGCCGGAGAAGCGGTGATTCTCCTCGGTGTCCTCAGTTCCAATGGACTGCAGGCGCTTGGCAATGCTTCCGGTGGACTCATCTACAGCCAGGCTGGCTTTGCCCGGAGCAACGATGCGATGAGCAATGTCAGAGAGCTCCTTCTTCTGCTCAGGGGTCAGCGCCGGGTATGGGTAGGGTGTGGTGTTCTCGGTGGTGATTTCCTTTCCTAACTATGTATGTTGCTGGGTGTGGCCCAGCTGAGGGTGGGGTTGTGTACTGGAGTCTGGGGTAATGGAATAGGCCAGAGCCATTGACACGTGGGTCATGCAGAAGCAGGACCCTTCTGGCTTGCGCCTTGCCATGGGGTCACCTTGTCTGGGCGCTCACGGAGGAGGGGGCGCGCTCGGGGGGGGCGGCGGGCAGTGGTGGGCTGCAGGCAGAAACACGCCAGTCGTCCCAGCTCTGGGTTCTGCCTAATATATACAGTATTTTTTAAAGATGATGTAGACTGATGCGTTCATCTCTAGTATAGAATCTCATTAAGGAATGCCCTTAAATCTTCCAAACACTAGCACTCTCTTTAAAAGCTAGACTCACTCAGCTTACTAAGCCTTACATCCCAGATATATCTCTCTCACTGTCACCCAGTTAGAAGTGACTCACGGCTGACCCTCCAGTGGGTATTCAGAGGCTGTAAATTACAGGGGAAGAGATGGACTCATCTTTCTCCCAAGGCGTAGTGGTGGATTCAAACCACATGCCTTTGGTTTGGCAGCACAACCCCCTATTCAGCAGGCCACCAGAGCTCATCAGAGAGACAGGAGTGTCGGAGTTCCCGAGTAATATGTGAACAAATGAATGAATTGCATCAGAATTCTTCAAGTGACAACGTTAATAAGGTCAGGTATGATATAGCAAACCAGACGAACCAAACAGGATTACCTTTTCTGTCAGAAAATTCTACTAGCGCCGAACTCTCTTTGTGCAAATACTGAATTCTCTCAATAGTCCCTCCTCCACTGTGGGGATTTTCAAATAAAAGTTTTAAGTAGCATTCGTCAACACCAGGCGGCAGGTTTTCAACTCTGATGACTTTTGTCACTTCCAGAGGTCTTAGAGAAAGCTGGAGTTGCTTAGCTGAATATCTGGTACAAACTTCAATAAATCTCAGGATATCTACAAACAAAAATATTAGAAAACGATGATGGTACTTTTGTATTATATAGAAGGAAGTATGTAGAAGAAAGAAGATGTTGTCAAGCATGCCATTTTTCGGTTGGATATTTCAATTCCTACATGAGAATTTTTACATTTAAACCTCCTGGTCTCTGTGCCAAGTTGCATGTTACCTAGATTACCTCTTGTTGTTGTCATTTTGTGCTGAATGGTTAGAACCAACCCATACCTAATGCTCCAGTGGGTTTTCAGAGGCAGTAATCACATGGGGAAAGATTGCCCATCCTTCTCCTGCAGAATGGCTGGTGGATTCAAACCAAGTGCCATTGGGATTGCAGCACAGCTTCTTACCCCCATCTACAGTCACAGCCCTACCACCCATCCATCTGGACTGTCACCTGAGTGCTCACTCCACACTGCAAATCCCATCATTTTTCTCAAGCCCCTTGAGGGCTTCCCATCACCTGAAAAGAGTAATAAGCCCAAACTCCACAGCCAGGCTTACAATGGCCTTTGATTTTTGGCTTCAAAAGAACTTTCAAGAATCTGCTGCAATTATCCCTTGTAGTTCATTTTCTTTTTCACATTGCTACAAACACTAGTCATTTCTGAAGGGTCACTATGCTCTTTTGTAAACATAACTTTCTATGCCTCGAATATCCTTCTCCAATTTCTATCCTAGTCCTGTTCATCCTGAAGGACCCAGTCCAGGTATCTCTTTCGAATTCATAAATTTTGATGGTGGGCTGACGATGCTCACTGTGGCTCTGGGGATATTAGGTCCCGGGGATACAGAAATGGTACAATGTCTTGCCCTCAGGAAGTTGACCACCCATGAGACAGGACTGCCTATTATGAAATCAAATGAAGTGTGAAAACTGATACTGGGAATCAGAGGATTCCCAGAGTAGGAGGTTTCTATTCTGGTTGTGAGAGATGAAGAAGGGAAGCACAGATAATGGTCGCAGACATATCAGGCTGAAGGACTATCAAAGGCATAAAGCAGCATTTTGGAACTGATCAACTGATCACCTGGGGTATAAACATCCAAGGAGACAGCACGCAGGGTAAGGCTCTAGGTCCTTCCTACCCCCGTGTCCTCTAGCATCTTCATCTCATTTGCACATAGCGGGTGCTTTTTTCCTTTTATTTTTTTTTTAACCTTCGCCAGGTTGTGAATGCCTCAAAGGTAAGAACCATTATTTACTTATCTCTGAACCCACAGCACCTAGTCCTCTGTCTAGCACATAACAGATACTCAAGAATTTTGCTTCATTAATAAAAGAAAGTCCATTTCCTTTTATCTTGATGAGAAATAATCACGCATTTGCAATAATACTAGTTCCCTGTATTAAACTGGACCTTTGACTCGAAGGGCTGTGCTCTTAATTAAGCATTCTGTGGTCATGGCAAGAACAAATGATGGATTTGAAATGAAAAATTTCTTATTGTGGATGGAAGTGGAGGTGGGCCTTTCTAACCTCAGAAATTGCCCACAAAACCTCTCTTCAATGGCTCTTTTTCTTTTTCTTCATCACACACTTAATCATTCCTATGTAATGTGAATGCCCAAAAAGTATAAGAGAAATGTGTGATAAAATGAACAAAAGGACAAGCTATAGAGCCAGGCTGCCTGGGTTCAAATCCGAGCTTTTCCATTTATTCCTCTGAGACTCTTTATCTACAACATTAAAATCAGGAAATGGTAATAATACTCTCATAAAGTTGTTGAAAGGAACAAAGGTAATACACATAATAAGAGTACCACAGGACCTAACCTGTAATAGGAACTCAATGAATATTTATCCTTTTTACCTTCTAGTGATCCATTTTGGTGACACTGACCAGCATTTTCTTTTTCCTCAATGAGGTAACTGGTGAAAAATGCAGAGTCTACAACTTGGAATTATTTTAGTAACTTCAGACTCTATATATGCTTTTGATATAGGGGGCATTTGATAACGCACATACTATGAAGAATGCGTAAGATAAAGTTCTCTCATGTAATATGATAATTTGGTTTCAAGACAAGTCTCTTTCTCTTTCAAAAGAACAAAAAGAAGGGAGCTCTGGTGGCCTAGTGGCAAGAAGTTGCACTGCAACCCCAAAGGCACATGGTTCAAATCCACCAAATGCTCCACTGGAGAAGGAGGGGCAAACTCGTCCTGTGCCGGTCAGATCCGACAGTAAACAACGAGGGTGGGGGGAAAAACAGCAAGAGGAAAAATAAATTTAAAAAAGAACAGAAAGTATCTGTATACATTTTGAGCCCTCTTATGAGGCAAACTCGCAGAGACGTTCCATTAACTGGTTATCCCACATCCCAATCAATCTGCCTGCTGAGTTGATTCCAACTCACAGCCACCGTCTAGGAGAGGACAAGGGCCCACAGGATTCTGAGGCTGAAACCTTTCCAAAAAACTGTCACATCTTTTCCCCAGAGAGAGGCTTTTAGGTTCAAACCACCTTTCAGTTACCAGCCTATGCTTAAACACTGCACCACAAGGACTCTTTCCCAAATCCCAAGAAGACTGGTCAGTGAACGGTCACGTGCTCTTACCTATTTGTTTTTTAAAGCTAACTACCGCCACATTAAGATCTTGTACGAATTCCACCTGAAAGTCATCATTGTTTGCTGACAGACCACTGACATTCTCCACTAACAGGGTTAGCATAATGTCAGTCACATTTTCCTGGAGATTTTCAAATACCACCAAAGATGGAATATCTTCACATTCTTTTGGCACAGCGTCCAGTTTTTCTGCTCTTCTGTTGAGGGAGACTTCTGTATCCGATTCTTTTGATACTTCTAAGTCTAGGGAGGCAATAGGGATGAAAGGTATCACACTTTCTTAATTGAGTAAACTATTAGAAGACACTGCCTCTCCTTTCCCCATATTTTCACTAGTTCAGCTAAAAGGCTGGTCTTGGAAAACTTTCAGCTTTATTTAATGAAAAGTAAAATGGAGCATTTAAATGTTTTTTATTATAAGACTAAATTATATCAGACTAAATTTTATCTCATTGCAATCTTATCTCTCTAACAAACTTCGCTTAATACGTACAGCACTTAATATGTACATCTAACATAGCACCATATTAAAGCTACTGAAATGAGCTTCTTAAAATCAAGGGCCATGTTAATTCATCCTTGTAGACACTGCACTCTAATAAATGGTTTCTGAATTGGAGAATTTAGTGCTTGGCTCCATAAAGAAAAGCAAGACTATCTGGTGATGCTCAAATATTGATATCATAGTCCTTAAAAGCAATTGAGAATCTGCAACTAAAAAGAAAAAAAAAAGGCACTTGCAGTTACTGACTAAGGAATATTCAGGGAAGGTAAAACACCCTAGATATCTGTGTTTACATCAAGTTCACTGAGTAGCCATCACCCCAGCTCATTTTCCATCACCCTGTATTTGTCCACTGAAGTGTGATGCTTATATTTGACTTCCAGACATTCTGTGAGTGATGGGACCCTTACTATGTTCAATACATTGACTATTTGGAGACAGGCAAATACAAATGCTACTCAAAAAGGAACTTATCCATTTTCTAATGGAGGTATACAAGAAAAATGAGAAAGGAAACTGACATTTGCAAATGCTTCTGGTGGTGGAGTAAAACACTGTATGTTCACAAAACCCTATTTGCTTTCTTCCTGGATGACATTTCCCAGACTTCTACAGTTCAGTTCCTACAGTACAGTTGATGGACAGTACAATATGGGTGAACGTGGTGAATTCCACTGCCAGGCCTGGTCAGTACAAATGTCCTGTTTAGGAAGCCCCATGCTCACCTTCAGTAACCTCGCAGGCCACGTACTAAAGATGAAAAACCCCAGTTTCCTGAATGACTGTGTGAGGCCGACTGTATTCCCTCAGCCACCTGAGCTGCTGACCAAACTGAACAGTCACGTGGAAGAGAAAGAAATCTCTATCGTGTCAGGCCACTGACTTGAGGGATGTTTGTTACGGCAGTTTTTTCTTTCTGACACACACCCTTTATACTTGTTGCACGTAACACTTATGCCAAATACAAAAGAAGGATTACATAACAACATAAAGTACACTAAATGGAAATTTATGACAGAATGAATACTGAGCTGAATGGGAGATACTGTAAGTACAACCGCTGACAGCCAACGGTGGGCTCTGGGGAAACAAATACCAGATTTAAAGTTCTTCTATATTAAATCAATTAGGATTTTAATGTTGTTGTTAGGGGCCATCGAGTTGAGTATGACTCATAGTGACCCTACAAACAAAAACTCTGAACCCTGTTCTATCCTGTGCCTTTCTCACACTGTCTGACACACACGAGCCCATTGCAGCAGTCACTGTGTCCAATCAACCTATTCTTTTTCTTTAAATGAGAATATGGAGCATCTTAAGAAAACCAGGAATACTAGATTCTAGTTTAAGGCACATGTACATTGTTGTTGTTGTTAGGTGTGTCTGAGTAGGTTTTAACTCATCGTGACCCTGTACACCCCTGAATGACACCCTGCCTGGCCTGATGCATCCTTATAACTGTCACCAGGCTGGAGCCAACTGGGACAGCCACTGTGTGAATCCATCTCACAGAAATTCCTCCTCTTTGTTACGGATCCTCCACTTTGCCTCACGTGATGTCCTTCTCCAGGGACTGGTCCTTCTTGAAAACATGTCCAAAGCCAAATTCTCCCTCTTTATAATGGCATGCTTACTTACAAATACTCAGCACTCCTTCAGGAAATGTTAAGTGCAAAGCAGGCCAGCCCTGAGACACTGGGTAAGTAGCAGCATCCACACAAGAGCTACTGGGCTGGGGGCTATTTCCTACAGCAGATGGGAAGGAGAAAAGCAGCAGGTGTTCTGGAGGACAGATTCTGTATCCTGCTCCTAGCATGTGGAAAGCTTTTGTCTGGTGGAGTCACACCTGCCATTTGTGGCTCCAAAGGACGGCCCTCCACACAGTCAGTGCTCAGAAACTGATTTAGCCCACATCCAGCACCCCAACACGTCACATCTTTGCTTCTACACGCCCAGCTAGGCCAGACGGGCTCAAAAGGCCATTCATCACCACCCACCAAGCACCTCTGTGTCCCACTCTCAATTGCAAGGTGCTTTCTGATCCCACCCTCCCAAACTGAGCTCCAAGGAGCTCCAGAGGCTTACAGGGTCCTCAGTCTGCACAAAGGGCTCACGGTCTGTCAGCGATGCTGCTCAGGACTCTTCCAAGCTGAGCAAACCTTGCCTATTGAGGTCAGAAAGGCAGGGAGACCTCTACAAGCATCTTCTTTAATTAACGCAAAACTGCTCAAGGAATGTCAAAGGCATGGTTGCTAAAACTTTACCTGGTTCTCTGGCGTCTTCTTTGGGCACAGATTCCTGAAATCCAAACAAGGTAAAGCAGCATTAATAAATTACTAATAACTTCGTTATATTAAGAAAATGTCACTGGAACCAATGGGTAGACATAGGGCAAACAGAAATGATGCAATGCTCTGGTAATGGTGCTGTTGAATATAGCTAAGGAGATATGTAGTAGCTGATCTACTTACTAGGAAGCTTTGGTGTCGTGGCCTAGGGTGGCCTAGATGTTGTGCTACCAACTCAAAGGCTCACGGTTCAAATCCACCAGCTGCCCCGAAAAGGAAGATAGGCAACCTCCTCCCATGAAATTTACAACCTCTGAAAACTTAGTGGAAGGTTATTTCTGACTTGACAGCACATAATAACAATAACATCCATTTGCTGGTAATGAAAATCACCAAAAAAATGAAAGACACATAAAAGATACTCTAACTAACAGCAAGTGTCTCAGAAAAATCATTTTAGCTCACAGTTTAGACTGTTTGAACTTTTATTGATTGCTATATAACAAACTATAACAACAACATATAACAAACTATATTCCTTGAAGAGGGATATTATGCTTATAATGATAGAGGGATAATGAAAGAGTAGAAGACCCTCAACCAGGTGACCTGACATAGTGACTGCAGTACTGGGCTCAAGTGTGTCAGAGATTGTGAGGAGGGAACAAGACAGGGTTCAGATTTGTTCATAGGGTCCCTATATGTTGTATGCAACTCAATGGCACTTAGCAACAACATATAACAATCACTTTGCTGTATGTTTGATAGAAATGATCTCCTTTAATACTCACAATAATGTAATGAGACATAATAATACATTCCATTTTATAATTGAGGAAATCCTTAATATGCAGTAATGATCACTGTCCTTCCTCCATCAAATTATATAAGAACATAAACAAAGCAGGTCGTAAGTGACGGAACACCCAGAAAAATTAGGCTCAAAATGTGACATCACTATACTTGGGCCTCCACAAAAAAAAAGCTGATAACCCAATTATAAAATGGGCAAAAGACATAGAATTTTCACAGAGGAAGATATTTGAATGGCCGATAGACACATGAAGGAAGGCTCAAAAATCACTGGCTATAAGAGAGATGCAAAGCCAAGTCACAATGAGGGACTATCTCACTCCAGTGGCAATGGCAAAGTTTAACAGAACAACAGGTAATAAATGTTGGAAAGGATGTGGCAAGATGAGGAACTCTTATACATTGTTGGTGGAACTGTAAAATGGTACAACCATTCTGGAAGGCAGTTTGGACTCAGTTTCCTAAAAAACTGAACACAGAAATTCCATATGAGTTGCCCTGAGAAAATGAGAACTGAGGCACAAACAGAGACTTGTACACCAACATTCATAGTAGCATTATTCACCATTGCAAGAACATGGAAACAGCCCAGATGCCCAACCACGACGGAATGGATTGAGAAATTATGGTACATTCGCACAATGGAATACTACACAGCACACAGGAGCAGTGATTTTGTAAATTATTACCTAACTTGGGAGGGACTGGAGAACATTATGCTGAGTGAACTAACTCAGTCCCACAAGGAGAAATATTATATAAAACCATTATTGTAGAATGAGTGTGAGGATCCAAGAGGTGGGGAGGAGGCAGGGGAGGTTGAAGCAGAGGGATGAGGATGTGCAGGGGGTGAAGGGATTAATCATGGGGTTGTAAATTTGATGAGGGGGGTGAGGGAAATTGGAAGAATCTGGTCTAGAAAACAATGTACTTAAACTTTGTAAATAAACTAGTATAAATAAATAAAGAATAGAGGGGGAAATAATCTGACATCCCAAGCCGCCATTATTGTAACCTTTAAACCGTGACTTTTTAAACCATATAAAACCAAACACACATGTTCCTTCCTCAGTGTACCCCACCGCTTCCTCCCTGGCTCCACATTCGTGCTTCCTTTCTCCTTCCAGTTGTTTTTATACTTCTCAGCCCAGTGAATGCTCCTCACTTGATTCCCATCCCATACACCTTGACAGATCATCCCTCCGCCCTTTAATCGTTCCTCTGGTTTACTTACCCTGCTTGGCACTTGCTCTGCATGGTCATCCTGGACTTCATCTGGGGGTGTGGGCAACTCAACAGTTAGCCTGAAAGTTCCTTTTTCTGGCCACACTAACTCGTGGTTCCCTCTCTGCAGAACGTTCTGCCGCACTGAAGTGCCCAACAGCAACAACAAAACAAATGAGTTAAAAACCAAGAGGCAAGCAATCTTAATTTACAAGATTATTCTGTCATTTCCATAGGTTGCATCATTATTAATCAATAGCTCGATCCGTTTCCCCAAACGGCTTTACGTAGTGGAAAGAGAGTAAGCTAAGCGAGCAGACAGGATTTTCTTTCCATTTCGACATTTATTTTGTAATCTTGAGCACAGTTCTTACTGCCTAAGCATCAATCTCCCTGTCGCTTAACAAGGTTACCGAAGACCACCCCACTGGAATGTTATGTGGATTAAACTAAGGAGAGATTTTAAACTAAGTGGATTAGATTTGAAAAGCAGTAGAGCACCTGTCACTTACTGAGCACGCAAAGAAGGAGCAATTTTTACTGTCTGGTGTAATAAAGAATGCATCCCTCACTCTGTGTCAGAGGAAACCAGGTGCAGGCCCGCCATGACGAACGCAATGTGTTGGGAAGGTGATGTGGACGTGGACGGCCATGGGGAGTAGAGTTTGGTGTAGAGAGGCTAGTGACCAAGGAGCCCAGTCAGGAGTCTGTTTCAATAAGTAACTACTTCTTGCTGTTAGGTTTCACTGAATCAGCTCCAACTTATACCCCAAAATGAAACCCTGCCCAATCCTGTACCATCTTCACAACAGCTGCTGGGATCAGACTCATTGTTGAGACTGCATCAGTCATATCAATCATCTCCTGAGGATTTTCCTCTCTTTTTTTGTGGTTTCTCCACCTCCCCCGCCCCCCATGTAGTTTTAGTCTTTATTCACATGCAAAATGATTTTAACAACATGGTAAACCTGGTAGCAGGGTTGTGAGGCAGGTATTTAGAGAATTAGAGATTTACGTTTTGTTCCAGTTTTGACATTAAAGGAATAATGAGGTTGTTTAAAAAGGATTCTTGGAGTTCTAGAATAAGTCCTGAAGCTGGAATGTGAAAAACTAGCTGCTCTGTTCCTGCTTTTCCATCCAGGTCTAAATCAAGTCACAAGGTGGCTGCCGCTCTTGTGCCCTGTGCTTTTGTACTTCAACTGTACCTAAAAACCTTTGTTACCTGAACCCTTCAGATGCTCCCATGCTACCAAGATTACATTTCTATCTCTTACCATGGAAAGGCTTTTTTCCTTTTTAAAGTTTTTTTTTGTCATTCCTATACATTATATTTCACAAATTCCTTAATTCACAGTGTGTTTCATACAATAGTTCTCATAAAACTAAAAACCATTGATCTATGCCCACTATTACCCTGCCTTTTTCAGATCCCAATGGATCTTTCCTAATTTCCTTCACCCCCTCCCTCCACCCACGAAATGCTGCGACCCCATCATTTTCCCCCTCCCTCAGTCTCAAGCTCCCTCCCTTTCCTTCTTTGGACATTTATACACATTTCCTTTTTTTTTGCTGATTTTGCCAAGCATAATGTCTTTCTCCAGGGATGAGCCCCTCCTGGTAACATGCTCTAAGGAGCCCTCTGGCTACACTTCTTTCGAGGCATATTTGTTCTTTTGGTAGTTCATGGTACATTCGCTATTCTTTGCCCACACCACAAGTCAAAGGCATCACTTCATCTTCAGCGTTCCTCATCCACTGAGCCTGTGGTAAAAGGGCCTCAGAGCCACAAGGACAATAACAGCGGGAGCAGAAAGAAGAAATGCAAGCTGTTTTACAAAAGAAGCACACCAGGCAGCTGGACTGTGGTGGAAATAAAAAAAGACAGTGGATAGAAAAGTCCAAGGGCCTGGACTCAAATTCCACCCAACTCCAGCTGAGTTACAATAAGGAAGTACCTCAGCTCCTCTTGAATCACAGTTTCCCTTCACAGGAGGATAACAAAGTCCACAGGACAGTATCTATGAATGCATTTGTTAACACCCCAATAACTACGCAAATGTAAGGTGAATTTGCAAGGCACAGTCAGAGATAAAATTAAAAAAAGGAAAATCATCAAACCACAGATGGTAGAGTCCAGGTTATGAGTGAACTTAAAGGACAAAGCACTGTCAACATATGCAGATGATAATAAGCGGTGTGGAAGAGGGGGCTCCTTGAGAACGTCCTGCTGCATTCACATGTGGAACTGTGGCGTGAATGCTGGAGGACCATGCTGGATTCCAATGCAGTTGGCTTGATGAGGCCAAGGAGAGGAGTCAGAATCTTTCATAAAGACAGGCTCAGTAGCTTTCCCACCTCCACTATCCATGAAGGGGCCAGAAACTGGGATCTTTTCCTGCTATATATCAACTCAAAACAGGCTTCAGACACAGAGAAGAAATGCTAAACTCTCGTTTCTTTCTTAAGGAGGACAGCAGATGTTGTCCCGTGGGCTCCTGAGGGGCAAGGCTAAGCTACAGTGAGGACGAAGGATGCCAACCGCAAAGCCAAGTTGCCAAGGGTCAAGGAGTGTAGTGTGACATTCTCTATTTTATTCCCAGAAACGAGCTGCTGTTGACTTTGACTCATGGCAACCACTCGTAAATGAGTCTGACTGCACTATAGGCTTTCAATGGATGGTTTTTCAAAAGCACATCCATCGGCAGGCTCTCAAATTCTGAAGTCTCGCCAGGCTGTCCTCAGGTTATATGCAACACTTGTGGGCACAACTCTTTCACCAGTTAGCAATCCCTGGTAAGAAGAAGGTGAACCTCTGAGGGAAAGAGCTGAAGCTCTAACGTCCAGTCACCCCGATCCATGTTGACAGTCCCCCTCAGGCACCGAACCTCAGATTTTATTAAAATTGTATTTTCTTTTGTTAATTTAAAAAAAAAAATAGGTTCCCTTTTCCTAGGGAAAGAAACCCTAGGTCCTTTGGAACCCCAAGGGAGTTGACATATTATTCCAAAGCTACATTAAGACCAGAAAGAATGACTGAATGTGCATATGCAAAACAGTCGTGGTACACTGTGGACCTGTTTCCACTGTGGCCACTCCCAGGGAAGACAGGGCATCCAAGGCAATGGAGACCTAGAGACACCTTTACTGAGTCAGCAAAGGTCCTAAGAAATCACGCACTGTGCCCATTAATAAATGTTTGGCAATCTACCAAGAAAGTCATTCCTCAAGAACAAAACTGAAACTGAATAGGGACTTTCCAGAGCTCTGGTGGCCTAGTGGCAAGAAGCTGCGCTGCAATCCTGAAGGCACACTAGTAGCTCTGTAGAAGGAAAGGCAATCTCCACCCGTGTGATTAAATGCCTCTGAAAACCCGCCAGAGGGTCAGCTATGGGTCGGTTCTGACTTGATAGTACACAACAACAACAAGAAGAAGTTTCAACTGAAGAGTTTGGGCTTTAATACACTTTAAGCTGAGGGAGCTAAACAAGAGAGGCCATGGGAACTCAAGAGACCCTATTGGTAGAGAGAAAGTGGTGGGTTGAGTGCTGAGAAGGAAGAAAGCCTGGCAGGAGGACTGTGAAATAATTTCTGCCTTGGGGACTAGCATATAGTTACTTAATTAGCACAAAAGGTGCTGTTTGCACTTTTATGTTATTTGTAGCTTCTATAACTGTTTGTGAGTTCACCCGGTATTGTCAACAAACAAAGAGATTATCCAACTTTGGGGTGCACCAGAGTCATATGGGGTGCTGGTTAAACCTGTAAACTCCCACCCACCCCACACTCACTGTATCAGCATCTGTCAAGCTGAGCTGGGGATGTGCAAGTTTAACCAGCTCTCCCTCCAGGTGATTCTGGAGCAGGTGGTCTTCCCCTCACACACGCCTTTAAGGACTCCTCTCGAGGACTATTGGATTGTAAAGAAAGAAGTTGAATCTCTAAAGGCTGGATCCATAATGATTTTATTTTGACAGCTGGGAACAAAGAGGGTTAACCCTAATGTTTTAAAAAATAAAATCTTACTCGATCCTACAATATCTCTGCTGTGGTAAGCCAGCCCATTGTTGCAGTCACAAAGATAAAGAAATCTCAACTCATGATCAATTCAGAATGTCACCACTTCCTCCCAGTTGTAGGCCACCCTGAGTATGAAGGAACAGGCACCCTCAACCTATACTGTGTATTGATCAACAGCACTATTGCTATTGTTGTTGTGAGATGCTATAGAGTCGAGTAGGACCCTATGAACAGCAGACCTGAACCCTGCCCTATAATTTGCCATCTTCATCATCTTTAACACACTTGAACCCACTGCTGCAGTCACTGTCAGTCCATCTCACTGGGAGTCTTCCTCTCTGTCACTGATCCTCCAGCTTTCCAAGTATGATATCCCATTTTCCATAGAACAGCTTCTCCTAGCAACATGTCCAAAATGGGAAAAATGAAGCTTCACCATCCTGGCATCCAAGAAGCACTCTGGCTGCACTTTTTCCAAGACATATCTGTTTATTCTTTTGGTAGTTCATGGGATAGTCAGTATTCTTCTTTAATATCACAACTCAAAGGCATCAATTCTTCTGTCATCCTTATTCATTGTCCAGTTCTCAGACGCATAACAAGGGATTGAAAAGAGCATAGCCTGAATCAGGCGCACCTTAGTATTCAAAATTTTAAACTGATATCATTGCTCTTCAGTATTTTGGAGAGGTCCCTGACAGTGGACTTGTGACTACCACCATACTCATCCTATAAAGTCTAGCATGAAGCCTCTTCTGTATTTACACCCGAACAATGTGCTCCGGCCTCTGAAAACCTTAGCTAACAGTCAGGTCCCGCTCAACAGCACCTAACAACAGCAACAATTATTTCTGAAATGGATGGCCAGTCAGCACTCATGGGAGCAGTAATCATAAAATCAAAAGAGGTGACACACTGGGCAAAGCTGCTGTCAAGGACCTCTTCAAAATGCTTAAGAGCAAAGACATCAGTTTAAAGACAATTGTGCCTGACCCAATCTATGGTATTCTCATTGCTTTGTACACATTCGAAAGTTAGACAATGAGTAAAGAAGATCGAAGAAGATCTGATGTCTTCGAATTGTGGTGCTCGGAAAAAGAATCGAAAACACCATGGACTGCCAAAAGAAGAAATACATCTGTCTTAGAGTAAGTGCAATGGGATTCTCCTTAAAGGCAAGGACTGCGGAACTTTGCCCCACGTACTGTGGGCATGTTCCGAGGAGGCACCAATCGCTTGGAAAAGACATCATGCTGGGGAAAGAAGAGGACCAGGAAAAGAGAGAAAGATCCTGGAGGAAACAGACTGACACAGTGACTGCAACAGTGGGCTTGAGCATGGTCAGAATGGTACACGACAGAGCAAGGTTCCCATCTGTTGTTCACAGGGTTGCAATGAGTCTGCAGTCCACTCCAAGGCGCCTAACAACAACAATGTGCTTTGGCATCTCTTTCAAAGAGTCCCAGATCGCTGGAATTTTCCATAAACCTTGGGAAACCCACGTTATCCTCACGTTCCTTAACTCCATTTCTTGGTGGTGGTGGTGGTGGTTATGTGCCTCCGAGTCGCTTGCAACTCTATGTATCACAGCTCTGAACCCTGCTCTATCCTGAGCCAAACTTATTGTCTCTGACACACCTACCCCAATTACCCCAGTCACTGAATCAATCAGTCTCAACGAGGGTCTTCGTCTCCTGCGCTTGTCCTTCCACCCTTCCAAGAATGACGTTCCCAGGAAAGACTAAACGGCGTCAAAAAGGAGGTAGAGCGAAAGAGCAGAGAAGCCTTGGGTTAAGCCACACGCTCAGGCTGCAAGGTGCTGTTCCAGGCTCTGCAGGTGGCACCGGGTGTGTGTGGGGGGGGGGGGGGGGGGGGGTCTCGTGGGACCGACAGGAGACGCTCACGTGCGCGGCTCCGGCGCCACCTCGAGGCCAAGCCGGGGAAGCGCCGCGCCGGGAGTCCTGCAGCGCCCCGTGCGCCCGCGCGCCGTACACGCTCAGTCCGCGCTGCTGCTCCCCGGCGGCAGGCCCCCATCCCACGCTTCCCCCGCGGAGGAGCTCTGGCGCCTCGTCAGCACCCCATTGCTAGGCCCTGCGGGGACCTTCACCCCCGATCCTCACCGTCCTCATTGGAGAAGAGCACCACGAAGGTGGACGGGCTCCCCGGCTCCGCGCGCACCACACACTCCCCGCCTCCCGATCGCTTCCGGCTCTGGAAGTACACTTGCAACTTAATGGAGAGGTTCTTCGGAGGGTCGGGGTCCCAGGACCCCCTGACCAGCAGCGGGAAGGAGCAGGGCGCAGCCATCCTCAGCCCCGCTATTCCCCCGGCGGACTACCGGCCACGCCCCGGCTACGGTTGGTTAAATTGCCTCTTTCGCTTTCGTTTCCCGGGAAATCCCTCCCTGTCCTTAGTTTCGACTTCTGATGGATTTGAACCATGAGCCTTTGAGATTGCAGCGCACCTTCTTACTTCTAGGCCGCCGTGGTAAGGCATTGAGCTGTCAAGCCAAAGAACGAGAGTTCAAATCCACCTTCAGAGAAAGAAGGACAGTCTCCTCCTGTGTGATGTATTGCCTTTGAAAACTTGTTAGAGTTTATGTGGGTCCCGACTCGGTGGTACACAACAACAACAAACACTCAAGATTGATTCATTAGACAAACGCAATGCCTGCTCTCACTGAGAATGCATGACACAGTGAGACAAGTGCTATTGGATGGAATATACAGGTGCTCCTGGAACAAACTGGGGGTAAAGGAGGCTTCTAGACCAAGAATGGATGTTCAGGGAGGGCTTACAGGGAAGGAGTGATAAGGAGTTATGCTGCCAACTCAAAGGTATACTGTTCAAATCCGCCACTGCCAAACCAAAGGTATACTGTTCGAATCCAGCAGCTGCTGTGGGGGAGAAAGGCGATCTCCTCCCCTCCTTCTGAAACTCGCTGGAAGGTCGGTCAGCTATGGATCAATTGACTCGATGACACACAACAACATCGTGTAACATGAGATGTGAGAATAATCAGGTCAATTTCTGGGTTCTCAATTCTGTTCCATTGGTCCATGTGCCTGTCATTGTACCAGTACCATGCTGTTTTGTTTGAATTTGTATTAAAATTTTGTAAATATTTAATATTAAAATTTTACAAATGAAAAAAGTGAACTTGGGGTGTGGGAAGGGAGGGAGAGGGGGTAAAATGTGCAACAATGAATGAATGAAAATCTAACTTTTCTGTAAACTTCTGTTAAAATGACAATTAAAATAAAAAATTCTTTTTAAAAAAAATAAATAATCAGAGTGGTAAGAAGTCGTGCAGCAATCACAAAGGCACGTGGTTTGAATACACCAGCTGCTCGTTGCAACAAGAACGGGTCATCTCCTCCCTTGCATGTAATTTACTGCTTCTGAAAGCCCACTCAGGGCAGATGTGAGTCAAATATGATGGCACACAACAACACGTGAAGGATTGGGAAATTGGGGGTGCCGTGGTTTTGGTAGCAGGATCCATCTGGCTGTAGGTGGGGATGAGATCCAGCCCAAGTTGAGGATGATACAGTAGTGCCCCAGGTGTCCCAGAAGGGGCCTTTTCTTCATGGTGATTAGGGAGAAGGATCTAGAAGGGGTAGGATTCCAAATCAGCATTGAAGAGAGCAGAGCCTGAAGGAGGGGAGCCGTGAGAAGAACTCATGGCTGGCCACTCAGAAATGAAGAATAGCTGTGGCATTTACCTACATGGGAAGATTAAAGAGAGAGCAGGGAGGTGGGAGGGAAGCCAGGAGTGTGTGTCCTTGACCCAGGATAAGAGCGTTTCTAGTCAGGAGATGTCAGTATTTAAATGCTACTGACATATCAGTTGGGGAAATGGCAATTGGACTGTTGGTGATTTCTGGAATGGTGCAAATGGTAACTCGATATAGGCTGTTAACGCAGTGGTCTAAACCCACCCTGAGACACGTCAGAAGGCCCGACGATCTGCTTCTGAGTATTAGCAGCCTCGAAACCCCAATGGAGTGGACCTACCCAGCACCCGTGGGATCGCCATGAGTGGGAATAGCCTAGGAGGCCTCTGACAACACAGGACTGCTGCTGACTCAACACTCAGACTCTCCCCCAGAGGAGGAGAGAGGGAGGAGACTAGCAAGTGGGCTGAGAACTGAGTCAAAGCAGGAAACTGTGTCAGCAAGTGTTAGGGGTTCTTCCAAGAAGTGAAACAGAAGACAGGCAGAACTGCAGAGTCTAAAATCAGAGAGTTGTTATGTTTTTCCTTTCTAACGTAAAAACAAAACAAAAACCAAACATAGATATATTCTAAGATGGAAAAAACTTTCAGCATGTTTCAATATTGATGGAGTAAAATGAAAGGAAGAGTGAAGCTACATCCAGGTTGTAAGAAGGAAGAAGAGGGTCCTGGAGTTACTAGCCTTAGGTCTCCTCTCAGGATCTGGGAGTGAGTGGCTTTCCAACAAATAAGTCACTTCCTGTGTCTGGGAACAGCGTGCTCACCCTCTGTTCCTTGGTCCTCCTTCACCTCATGCTGTTGTTACTATGTATGTGGAGTTGGAACTGACCCGTAGCTGACCTTCAAATGGGTTGTCAGAGGCAGTAAATTACACAGGAGGAGAAATGTCCATCTTTCTTCTACAGAGTAGCTGGTGAATTTGAACAATGTGCCTTACTACTAAATTGCCAGATCTCCCCCTTCACCTCATTGCCATAGTTATTATAGCACAATCTATGTCTGCACTTGCAGGCAAAACGTCTCTGTCCTTACTTCCTCCCTTTAGACTTCTCTGCAAACTTGTATAACCTAGCATCAAAGTTAGGGGGTATTCTATGAGGCCTGGATTCATACACCTAAGGACCTGTGTATTCTCCTCAGGGGGAGACTTGAGAAAGCTTTTTCTGAAATGAGAGTGAAGCATCTGCTGCAGATCATTATAACAACAGAATAATAAAAACAACAGAAATCATCCTAAAAGCACCAGGGCAGAGTGAGGGTGTGTCTCTATCTTTCTATTTGAAACCTTTAAAATTCTCAATATTCCAGCACTCATTGACTCTACTTCACTCCCCTAGTGACTAAAGCACTTCCATTCAGAATGAGATTTGCAAGTTCCAAAGTTCACAGATAGGAATGACAGGAAGAAGACAGTCGGAGACTGGCCTCCCAACTCCAAAGACCTTTTCCAGAAGGAGGACGTGAGGATATGGACCTCATCATCTAATCCCTCCTGTTGTTGTTGTTGTTAGATGTCCCCGAGTTGTGTACAACTCATAGTGACCCTCTGAACAAAAGATCTAAACCCTGTCCTATCCTGTGCCGTCCTTGTAAACTCTGACATGCATGAGCCCATTGATGCAGTCACTTGTCAATCCATCTGGTTGAAAATCTTCCTCTCCTTCGCTGACCCTCCACTTTTCCAAGTATGAATGTCCCTTCCCCAAAAATAATGTCTCCTAACAACATGCCTTTGACATCCTCCCACAACTCATCTGGTCTTCGCTCATTAGTGTTCAGGCCTCAAACCCGTTCCTGAGATGATTCTGAAATTCAGGTGGTATGAAATCAAAGTCATATTTTGGCTCCTGTGGATTTGGTTTAATTTTCCTCAGCTTCAGCTTGAACTTGCATATGAGTAATTGGTGGTCTGTTCCACAGTCAGCCCCCAGCCTAGTTTTCACAGCTGATATTGA